ATCAACACTCTAGGAAAATTTTGAAAAAAGAAATCTGGGGTTAAAAAGGATTTTGCTTGGTTATTCGGTGGGATTCAGTATCCCGTGAAAAGGGCTGCAAATTTTAAGGGGTGCGAGAAATTAAAAGGGAAACAAAGAGAAAGGTAAAAGGTTAAAGGAAAAGAATAAGGAATGGAAGACAGAAATGAGAATGAAAAAAAACAATTGCAGAAGATCCGAATTGCGAATCACTTATGATCGCTTTTTCTTCCTCTTCTTTAATTTTTGTAGTGATACAAAATAAAGAACGAATGATTAAAAGTCAAGTAAATATTTATAAAAAAAATGGGAAGTTATTATTAAAATTCAATATATTTAAAGATGTCTAATAATTATGTGAAAAGAATAATTTTAAACTATAGTCTGAGCTTTTTCAGTTTATCTTTTTTTTTTATAAGTATATCATTTATTTATTTTAATTTTCATTTTACAAGTTCACAAGCATATGCATTCATGAGCTCTTTGATATATTCTGGATGTTTAGAATATGTCTCGAGTACAATATTCTAATGTTTACGGGCAATATCAAACATCATCATTTTGGTCAATAAATTTTCGTCTCACTTCTCACTTCTCACTTATTTGGAGAAAAGAGATATTTCACCAAATTAGGAAGAAAAAAGAGGGATTTTGTTATGTGACTTGAGACTGATTGGATATGCAGTTATAAGCCCAGGAGAAATAAGAATAAGTGAAGTGTAGAAAAAAAGAAGTAAAAGGAAATAAAGAATAAACGAAACAAAAATGTAACATAATAGTCAGTTTGACATATTTGAAGAAGCAGCAAAGCAGTCTTTTGGGAATACGTTAATACTTGAAGTTCCCTCCTATGTTTACCTAGGGAGAAATTAGGCTAGACATTAAAAATTACTTTTCATAAAAATTGTTTAAATATATCTAATGATCTAAGCTACTGCATTGGTATAGACTTCATGGTATATAATCATTTTATTGATAATAAACACTTTAATGTTTGAGTATAGTGCTCAAAAGAATATAGTTTGAGGAAGGGTGTTCTTTGAGTAGTGATCCTGAAAGAAATTAAAAAAAATTAAATATATTTGAGATTATACAATGTTTTAATTCCCGCCATCTTTTGTCAATGTAATATAATACTTGTGAGCCTATTAAACTTTCTCCTTATATATTCAATTTTATTTTAAGCATTTAATTTTGTAAATCATCATTCATATTTTATCCTTTTTCTTAACGTATTTATAAAGCATTTGTTGAAGTGACGCGGTGGAGTGGATATATGTTATTTATGCTACTGATCACAGAAAAATTTGGATGCCCCTCTCTTGTAAGTTGTAACATGTATAGTGCTTGAATTAAGGAAATTGCGAGCTTGGATTGTAATTAAAATAATTTATATTTACAATATAATCAATTCATAGTATTAAATTATGTATGCATATAAATAAATTTTGCATCTCTTTTATCTCAACTAAATTTAGACAAAAAAATTATATCTTTCATCTACTATTGTTTATTTTAACCGCGCGAAGCGCGGACAAATTTAACTAGTTTAACTCATATACGTAATATATTTTTTTGGTGAAGGGTTTGCGCTTGGTCACCCTTGACATAGAGCGGCTATGCCACTGTATAGCTAAATTTTTACTTTACTATAAGCAAATACATGCTTCGAAGAGTACGTTACTATTATTAACAATATGCTATTTATCAAAATTGAGGTTCAAATTCCATAATGTCTAGGTTTTCTAACTTATATGTTGGTATTCTCCCTACCAGCGTGTGTTATAGGGTGCTAATTTATAACCAGTTGATGTTGGTGCGATGTAAGTATGACAAATATTATCCTAACTAATGCCAATAAAAATTATGTATTCGTTAAATTAAAACTGTTAAAATTCCTAGGGCCTCATTTATTTGCATTTAATGGAGGTCTAAATCTTAATCATTCAGATCTCAGACATTAAGTGTGTTTGTTTTTAAAATCTGAATATTAATTATACAGATCTTAATCATTAAGTGTTTTTTTTTACTTCACAACCACTTAATAGGTATGAATAGGTCTGTATGATTAAGATCTATAACAGAGACTTAATTTCATTCAGATGCTATCACATATTCATTATTAACTGCCGCCGCCTATCATTATCAACTATCGCCATACCGCCGTCACCACCATACTCAACCACCACCACCACCACCACCTCCACCACCACGGCTTCGTCATTCTCAATCATAGCCGCCGCCATTATCGACCATTACCACCCACTATCCTCACTACTCCGACCACCATCATTCTCTCCCACAATCCACACTCATCCAACTCAACTACCACAAGTGACCACCCTATCACCATCAACAACACAGCCGGCACTACCCATCATTATAACCTACCACCACCCACCCACCACCTTCTTAAGTCACAACTACTACCACCACCCGGCATTATTAACTATCACCAACCACCACCACCCTCCTCAATCATAATCTCCACTACTACGAATCACTACTAGCTACTAGCATGAACCACCATCATCAACCAAAACTACCACCAACCACCGCCTCTAGTCGGCATTCAGTCGTTAGCCATCACCACCAACAACTATCATATTTTTAAAAACTATATATTTTATTGATAGAATATTAGATTAGTTATTTCATTGGAATTTTATTTTTATTAATTTTCAAATAAAGATAATTTTATATATTCAGATGTTAAAAATCAAACAGTCTTAATTATTTCTATTCAGATCTTAATATATTCAGATGTGTATTCAGATTCAGATATCTTAATCTTAATACGCATCTTAATATTCAGATGTGTATTCAGATTCAGATATCTTAATCTTAATACACATCTTAATATCCAGATGTGTATTCAGATTCAGACGTCTTAATTTAAAAAATACAAATAAGGCCAAGAGCCCCTTATAATAACCTTATTAAGATGGTAAACTCCCTTTAAACTCTCCTCAATTTCTGGCTTTTTAACATAACAAAGTGATGCAATCCCATTTATTAAGAATTTTGCTTTTGATATAAAAAGTGAACTACTGATTAAGATATGATTCTTATCCTGAATCTTGGTTAGTAGATTGTACCTGTTGCCACTTGCACTATGTTGGAATATAATAATAAACTAGTACCAATATAATTATCTCCTACTATTAACTTTTCCTCTTTCTTCTTATAATTTTCAAACTGTAGTAGGAAAGTAGAAAGTTTGGAGTCTTAAAAAGTCTTTTCAACAACTTCTTTATACAAAAGTTGAGCAGTGACAACAAAGATAGGGCAATAATCTTAACGAAAAGAAAGAAATCAAAATTTTAAAATTAGATAATTCATCATTACATGGTCAAGTTTTTCAAAAAAGCAAGTCTATAACACCGACCAATTTTATTAAACAAAGAAAAAAGGATGAACATTCTATTCCACTATTTATTAAACAAAGAAAAAAGATGAACATTTTATTCCACTATTATATTGTATTTATGTAAATCGGGACAACAAAGAGAAAATGACAATGGTGCTTTAGAATTGAATAACTGGGTAAAACAAAAATCGTAAGCAAACTTTATGTTAATTCCGCCGCATAAATCAGTAAATGACAATTATCTTAACCATGATTTGTGTGTCTTGGGGCGAATTAGTGACCCCCATTAGCCGCACAGATGATTTAAAAATAAGGCATTATTGAAGCGAAAAATAAGAAGACCTTATATATTAATCACTTCACAAAACTCAATCCTTTTTTTCGTTTCACTTTAAATATAAAAGAGGAATTAAAAAAAGTGAATGGTTTTAAATCATTTTGTTGACAAAATTTCACTGAAATTTGAGAATTAGTATGAAACGACATAATTATCATAACCGATTACAACTTCATCGACTGAATGAACAGGTACTCATACATCTCCAATCTCCTAATGCTAGCTGTAGCTGTGGAGGTGGGAACTCTATCAAAAGGCACAAATTTACCTAAAGAAATGTTGATATAAGAATTTGCGGAAGCTAAAGGGGAATTACCATGGTGGAAATACCCAAAACTTCAGAGAACGAGAGAGAAGATGATAAGAAAAATATCTCGTCTTTTATTAGAAATGAATAGTCTGTCTTTTCTAGAATAGTCCACAGTAGATATACTTGCATAAAATGGCTATGTAAAGCAAATGTAAATGAGGCTATCTATCTCACTAAGTAATACAAAGCTGAAATACTAGCTATTGGGCTTAGTTGGGCCTGTGTGTACGTCTGGGCCTGTGTGTATGTCAACACCCCCCCATCAAGCTTGGGGTGATAGCACACCAAGCTTGCCAAGCAAATAATGATGAAGTGGCCCAGGAAGTGGCTTGGTCATAATATCAGCAAGCTGGGCAGAACTGGGAACAAAATGCAGAGATATCAGCTCGGAATTGAGACTCTCACATACATAGTGGCAATCAATTTTGATATGCTTTGTCCTTTCATGGAAGACCGGATTCTTGGCAATGCAAGACTGTCACAATAGATGGGAACAGGAGCAGAAACATGTAAACCAAGATCATCTAGTATCTTGACCAACCAAGACACCTCGGCAACCACTTTTCTGAGAGCCTTGTATTCTGCTTCAGCAGAAGACAATGAAACAGTGGGTTGCTTCTTGCTTTTCCAGGAGATTGGTGAGCCACCAAGTGTAATATAAAAACCATAAACAGACCTTCTTGACTCAGCACAGGCAGCCCAATCAGAGTCAGAGTAGGCTTTGATAGAGGTATCAAAAGAGGAAGAAAGAAGAATCCCTAAAGCAAGAGCATTGGACAGATACCTCAGGGCATGGAGTGCAGCAAGCATATGAGGAACTTGAGGAGCTTGAAGAAACTGACTTAAATGTTGAAACACAAAAAGATATATTTGGCCTTGTGTGTTGAAGAAAATTGAGTTTGCCAATAATTCTCCGATAGGTGCTAAGATCAGTCAATGGGGCACCCATATCAGCAGACAACTTGACAGAAGTATCAAGAGGAGTCACAACAGGGGGAAAATTATGACAGTGGAATTCTGCCAGCAAGTCCTGTGTGAACTTCTGTTGGCTGATGATGTATCCTTCAGGACATTTAGTGACTTCCAAACCAAGGAAATAATGGATTCTTCCCAAATCCTTTATTTTGAATTGTTGGTCAAGAAATAGCTTAACACAATCCAATTCAACAACATCATCCCCAGCTAGTAAGATATCATCAACATACATATCTAGTACAGTAAGAGAAGTAGGAGTAGACTTTGTAAACAGGGAGTAGTCATTCATGCTAGAAATGTATCCTCTTGTAGTCAAAGCTTCAGACAATTTAGAAAACCATTGTCTCGATGCTTGCTTGAGGCCATACAAAGATTTTTGTGAGCTTGCATACCAAAGGGAAAGAAGAAGAACCAGTAGGAGAAACATGCATCCTAGGTGGAATCTTCATGTAAACTTCCTCATGGAGGTCACCATGGAGGAAGGCATTATTTACATCAAGTTAATAGACAATCCAGTTCCTCTTTAAAGCAAGGGAAAGAAGACACTTGATAGTAGTAAATTTGACAACCAGGGAGAATGTTTCATTGTAATCAATTCCCTCCTTCTGAGTATCACCCCTAATGACTAACCTTGCCTTGTACCTCTCAACAGAACCATCAGATTTCTGTTTTATTTTGTACACCCATTTGCAAGTGATAGCCTTTTTGTTAAGGGGAAGAGGTACAATATCCCAGGTGTTGTTAGCTTCTAATGCTTGAAATTATTTTAGCATGGCCTCCTGCCAAGCAGGATTAGAAGTAGCCTGTTGATAGTACTGAGGCTCATGTAAGTGCAATTCTGTGGAGGACATATGAGGAACAGTAGATACAAGGGCAGAACAGATATAGTCTGCTAGATGAGGAGGTGGATGTGGTACTCTAAGGGATCTTCTAAGAGAATGATCAGATGGAGGAAGATTGGAGGGAGATAGGGCAAAAATAGAAAGTGGTAAAGAGGCTGGAACAGCAGTAGGAGGAGAAGGAGAGGAATCATCAGGAGGAAAAGAAACAGGGGAGGATGTAGAATTAGGAGGAACATGAGGAAAAACTGAATGAGAAGAGACGGGTGGAGTATGGTGATGAGGAATATCAACAAAGCTGGAAGGTGAAGGAAGGGAAGTGGTAGAAGAATTTGTGGAGAAGGGAAAAACATGCTCATAAAAAAAACATCTCTAGAGTAGAAGATAGATTGAGAGGACATATTAAGTAATTTGTATCCTTTCTTCACACAAGGATAGCCAAGGAAAATGGAAGGGATTGCTCTAGACTGAAATTTGTCTCTACTATGTTTAGGAGATGTAGCAAAACAAAGGCATCCAAATAATCTAAGATGATCATAAGAAGGTGAATGTCCATGTAGTTTCTCAAAAGGGGATATGTTGTTAAGGACAGTAGAAGGAAACCTGTTGATGAGATATGTGGCTGTAAGGACACATTCACCCCAGAATTTAGTAGGCAAGTTGGATTGAAATAATAATGCTCTGGAAGTTTCTTAGAGGTGTTTGTGTTTTCTTTTCACAACACCATTCTGTTGTGGTGTGTGGGAATAGTTGTCTGGTGCAGAATTCCTTGAGAAGAAAAGAAGGATCTGGACTCTAGACTAGAGCCTAGTTCAAAAGCATTATCAGACCTGAAGGTCTGAACTGAAGTGTGAAAATGATTATGTACCATAGAGGTGAAAGCTTTGAGTACATACAGAGCATTACTTTTGCTAGAAAGTAAGTGGGTCCAGGTTACCCTAGAGTAGTCATCCACTAAGGTAATGAAATATCTAAAACCATTATATGTAGTAGTGTTGTAAGGTCCCCAAATGTCAATGTGGACCAATTGGAAAGGAGCAGTAGATTGAGTAGTGCTATCAAGGAATGGCAACCCTTTTTTGTCTTGCCATAGGACATATAGGACATAGAAATGATTGTTTTGAAGAGATTTATAAAGAAATAAAAGGAATAGATTTCATTCTGTTGTAAGGCATGTGACCCATTCTTTGATGCCGAATAATCTGTTTTATTAATATCAAGAGATGGATTACATGAGGGACTAATAGGAAGGGGATTGACAGAATTGAAAATAGGAGAAACATTAGGAACAGAAGATGAAACATTACATGAAACATTGGAAAAGAGGAAACTAAAGGGCTATCATCAAGATGAAGAAAATACAATCCATTGTCAGCCTTACCAATTCCCAGTGGCCTCTTCAGAGAAGGGCCCTGTAAGAAGCAATGGGAAGTAATGAGAACTGCAATACAATGAAGTTGTAAAAGAAGCTGATATATTGAAATTAAGTTGAACTGAAAAGATGGGACAGGCAGAACATTGTGTAACACAATATCAGATCTAAGTTGTAAAGATCCAGTAGATACAACTTTTACTTTATAGCCATTTGGTAGAGTGATTAAGTAAGGTCTAGTTAATGGTTGAAGATTATGAAGAAGATATTTGTGAGGTGTCATGTGATTAGTAGCCCCTGAGTCTAGAATCCAAGTGTCAACAATTAATTGTGAAGATGCACAAGCATGAAAATCCACAGACCTAACTACAGAACTGCAAAACAAACCTGCAAAATGGGCATATGCATGATTGTCTCCAGAGTGAGAATCACTTGAGATACCAGAAGAGATGCGTGACTGCTTCAGAAGAGTAAGAAGGTGTTGATATTGTTCTGTAGTGAATCCATGGTTGACAGGTGAAGGCTGTTCCATAAATGAGGTCAATGGAGTAGAAGTAGTACCCTCAGCTTGAACACAGGAAGCTGATCTCTTGTTTTTGGTGAACTTGAAGTCAGAAGGAAAACCATGGAGTTTGTAATATTTTTCAATGGTATGACCTGGTTTTTTGCAGTATCTACACATCATGGGTTGTCCAGGTTTCTTTGACTCAAAATGAATCTTCTGATTGAAAGATCTTTGCCACCATGATTTTGTGAATGGGTTGAAGGAGTGGAGGATGCAGAAAAAAAGACAGAATCACTAGAGAAACTTGGAGCTGGGGATGTTTCCCTTTGTCTCTCATCGTGTTGCAACATGGAATATGCCTTACTAACTGATAGGAGTGGTGATATCATGAGAATGTTGCTTTTGACAGTATTATATGACTCATTTAGTCCGGCCAGGAACCAAAAGAATTTCATTTCATCAAGGAACTTGGGTAGAGCACCACATGAACATGTAGGACCTACATAAGCAGTCTGAAGCTCATCCCAAAGACTACGAAACTTTGTGAAATAAGAGGCTATGTCTAAGGTTCCCTGGGAAATGGTTCCAATTTCCCTTTGTATCTGAATGCACTTGGAACCGTTAGACTGACCAAATCTCTCATTTAAGTCCAACCAAATCTCTTTCGCAGTGTCATAACCTAGAACACTGGTTGCAATGTCTCTAGAAAGAGAATTGGTGATCCAAGCGACCACCATATCGTTACACCTTTCCCAGTAGGAGTAATAAGGTGAGTTATTAGGAGGTTTAGACTGACGACCATCAATTAGTGCCAATTTATTTTTGGCAGAAAGGGAAACTAACATGCTTTTACGCCAGGCAACAAATCCAGTACCATCGAAATGAGGAGATACTAAGTGAGTGCCAGGACTGTCTGAGGGATGAATATAGAGAGGATGTGAGGGATCTAAAGTGAATATAGTGAAGCCATCGGATTGATTAGAGGAATTCACATGCTCATCAGCCATTTTGTATCCAAAATACTCAAATACAGTAGAAATCTACTAGGAATTGAGGCATGCAATTTGAGATTAGAGAAGAAAATATCGTCCTTTTTCACTACCCGAAAAAGACAAGGCCTTCAAATGAATTCTGAAGCAGAAGACGGAACACCGATCGAAATCAGAGGAACATCACCAGCAAACCGTCATTATACCTTTGAAAAACCATGGCTAAGGTTGAATTTCGTCTCAATCAAAGAAAACCCCAAATCAAAACCTAGGGTTTCAGATTACCTAGAATTATGAACATCGAACTGTACAAGTGCGAATGAATAAAAATAATCGAGTACAGGAACTCGTGTCCTGCTCTGATACCATGTTGATATAAGAATTTGCGGAAGCTAAAGGGGAATTTCCATGGTGGAAATACCCAAAACTTCAGAGAACGAGTGAGAGAGAAGATGATAAGAAAAATATCTGGTCTTTTAATAGAAATGAATCGTCTGTCTTTTCTAGAATAGTCCACAGTATATATACTTACATAAATGGCTATGTAAAACAAATGTAAATGAGGCTATCTATCTCACTAAGTAATACAAAGTTGAAATATACAAAGCAGAAATACTAGCTATTGGGCTTAGTTGGCCCTGTGTGTACGTCTGGGCCTGTGTTATGTCAACAAGAAATAGTATAGTAATAAGGAGATTACATTCAAATAATATTATGAAGTTGAATTCTAATGATCTTCTAACCAGAGGTATGACTAAGGGTGCTTAATTAAACGTTCTTTGTGTGTATATTATTGGTCAATATTACCTGTTTTACGTGTATATTAAATTTTGGACACTTTTGAATACTGTTAGCAAAATATTTGATTTTGCCACTGCAATTCTAACTATTGTTAACTTTTACTTCAGCAAAGGGAACGTACTTAAATTTGAAAATAGCTGTTATGCTTGTTAGGCAGCAAAAGTAAGTGGAAGCTTCTTAAAAGGGAATGATTATGTCTTAAAGGCTATATAATGATCAACCACTCTATGTTCTAATCAACTAACTGTAAAGTTTTTTTTCTTTTCTTTTCTTTTTTGCAATAACAATCATCACAAAAGCTATGAACATTAATTTCCCAAAACATACTTCCGAAGTATTTCGTTTATTACAAGTGTCGAAGCACGGTTGCAGAGAGAAAGCTCTGTTATTCATTTGTATAACCAGTTACCTTTGGCAATTATATCTTTAAAATTAAAGCAAACTCTAGTAATGGGATTCCCATTCAATTTCATTTGATCTGATACATCAGAAGTAATAGATTGAAATATTAATAAATCTTTTATAAAAAATTGACAATGTAAAATTGCATATCAAAACAAAAAAAGAAATTCAAAATCACTGAAAAATGGGGAAATAGACAAACCAAAAATTGAGAAAACCAATTCTATGTTTGGATTGACTATTTTACAGATTTAGATAATTGATAGGTGCTTTGATCTTTTCTCTAAAGGAAAATTGACTCAAATCATACCATGAATATTCATACTTGCACAAGTGATCCGCTCGATTTCCCTTATGGGACAGCTAATGATTGTGTGTGTGTGGGGGG